TCTCAGCTCTTCTTCTTGTGTCCTCTATCCACCAATGAAAACCCTGTAAAGCGTCTGTTTGTCTCCAGGCAAAGAAAGCTGTTTTGAGCGTATAGTCTCCCGCTTTGGCACTAACATTACATATGTTGTGGTTGGCGATGGGAAGGACGAAGAGCATGCGGCCGGCCAGGTAAACACTCACCTGCGACCTCTGACCCTCTGACCATGTGACCTCCTTCCTGTGTATTTGTTCTCTGCAGGAAAAGAGAGTTGCTTTGAGCGCATAATGCAAAGGTTTGGCAGGAAAGTAGTGTATGTTGTAATTGGTGACGGTGTGGAAGAGGAGCAGGCGGCCAAAAAGGTAAAGGACCGCCACGCCACCGTGACCCCGCCTCCTCCGCAGTGTGAGCTCTGATTGGACCAAGCCTGCCTTTCTTTGCTGTAGCATTTTGTGTTGGTTTTTACTTTCTCTGCTTTGTTTTCTTGTTTGTGGAGCGACGGGAGACGCCTTCAACCGGAACATAGTTATGATCTAAATTATTCACATCAGAACCCGAGCGGCACCACATGAACCCTCTGAACCCCAACACCCACCAGCAGGTTCCAAAGTCACGTTTTCTGTTTAAAAAACCGTCAAAATGAGCCCAGATATCAGCTAGAGAGTGTAAAACAGAAAGAATAATCAGATGTTTAACTTTCTGACGGTCCTTGAACAACTCTAAGATCCAATCTGAGCTCAGAATCAGGATTTCTCCTTAAAATCACTTCATTCTACATTCAAAAGAAAGTGTTTCCTCTAACTAGGGTCTGTAAAACAAATGAACATTCTGCTCTTCCTCGTGCAAACACGAAGCCACGACAGACTCAGCTGTGGCCGACAGCACTTTTCAGCTGTGCATGGAAACGGGAAAGCAGTGAAATCTGTGTTGATTCCAGGTGGCAGCAGGTCGTCGACGCTGTGCACAGTTAAAGGTGAAAGGATGGTAGAGGCTGCACAAAGCAAAGCAGAAAAAACATCCAGTACGTGGAGAGACAGCGACACTAAACAAGAACAACAACACGCTAATGACAGAAGCAAGACGAACAACTGACCACACATCATGAGACGGCAACAACCCGTCCTGAACGTGACAAGAACCTGAAAAAGTCCAGAAGAGGCAGATAAAATCAGGTCATGGAAACATATCTACAATCACTAATTAAAGCCGCAAGTGGCGATGGACGGGTCCTCGCCCTACGCTTGTCGGCCTTCGCGCACGGCGGGGTGTGGGGCAAACCTGCTCCGGGCGGGACTGTGATCCGGCATGTCGAGTTTGGGGCAGATCG